GTCTCATTTAGGTACATATATTTTATGATATTAGGTACAATCTGAAATTTCCATTTTTCATCCCTGGTCTGTATGCATTTCGTTCATGAACGAAAGACACAAGATCACGTAAGAACAAGAGAGTGAAAAAAGTCGATTTTTTTAGCGGGTTCTACGCCATCTTGTTTCACTGGAAAACGAGCGAAAAGTAAACAAAGCAAAGAAAACAACGAAAACCAAAATTAGTCAAAATTATTGTCAGCCACTTAAAGCGCACAATTTAGTTAAAATGATGCAATAAAATGCTTGAAAATGTGTTGTCATGTTGAATTAACTCTTCTTTACTTAAATAAAAGTGTAAAATAGTGGTGCTTGTGATGTAAACAAACGCTCAGCTGACGAACCCGCTTTCGCAAACTTTTTTCTCAAAACCAGTTACAAATACAACGTCGCGTTCTTACGTGATCTTGTATTTTTGGTTCATGCATTTCGTTGTAGTATTTTTATGTATGTACAGAGGTATTTCGTTTTGATGTTTGTAGAACGCTTGTACAAACTGTCGATTAAGACAGCGATTTACAATGTGTCCCGTGGCGTGTATGGTAGAGGTGACGCGATTACTTTTCGCATGCGGTGGTTGGTTTTGTTGATAGTGATCGAATCCCAGTCGGTGGAGTAATTTTTTTTTGTTTTTTATGTAAATATATGTGTGTCTGTTTTTTATAAAATATTTATTTTTATATTTGCTTTTAAAAATACCTACACAAATTTCCATTAGGTACATATATACATATGTATAGTGTGGCGAATACTGCGGCAACACAAAGCGAACAACGAGAAATAGGCAGAATGTTCGAGGAATGACGTAGAATGTTCCACAAAGAGAAACGTCAAGTTGGATGAACACTGCGAACAGCGAGAGAAAGAGAATGAGCGATAAACCTCAGAATGTTCTAGAGTTGCCATAAGTGCCAGCGCAGGTATATAAGGGCGCCGCCACAGCGAAGTGAGACAGTTACAAGTCAGCAAGCTACAAGTAAAGTGAGCAGAGAAGCGAGTTGCGAATAAGCAAGCTATAAGTTTAATTGTGTGTAACAAGTTCGGTAAAGCGTTGTAATTGCTTTAACAAGTATTGTAGTGTTTTTACTGTATTAGCAAGTATTGTAAAATTGTTTGTTGTACAATAAAGTTAATTGTACTACCATTTGGTCATCGTTAGCCTTTATTTAACAATCCAGCGATACGAACCGGAGATTTGGGAAATCCGGACGAGGGTTCAAGGATAATCGTAACAATAGTCAGAAATCGTTGCTAAAAAATTGTTTAAAAATGAAAAGCTTTTGATGCAATTTAATTTAATTTTTATGTACAAAGATTCTATACATATTTTATGTAAAAATAAAAGACTGTTTTTGCATAGAACGTGAATCGAGAATTTTAAAAAAATTTAATAGAAGTATGTATGTATACATACATACCCAGTGCAAACAATTTTTTTAGAGTATTCTGAATTGTAGAGCAATTTAAAAAAATTCGTAAAGATATCATCCGATTTTTTCCCGAATTTTCTAAAATGAAATAAACTGTGCACTTTCGATTTTTTATGGAATTTCGGCAAAAAATCGGTAAAAGAATGAAAATAATGATGCTATGTGAAGAATTTCTTGTAAAATTTTTTCAAAATTGTCTCTATTTTTCGTACAGAAATTTCTTTACGAGTTCGTGTCAACCACTTTATATACATTTCTTTGAAGACTCGTAAAAAAATCATTACAGAAATGAGATACTGCTAAAGATTTCGTTAAGATTTCGGGAACTTTAGTTTGCAGGGTCGATACCTTAATTCACAAAGGCCCTAATCCACAATTTTTTTCGAAACTGTGTTTTTTCTCCACAGATTTTGGTAAGATATGTATATTAAAACAATTTGAACGTGTTAGTACCAAAAACAACGGAGTTAGGTACGCCACTTTTTTAAAAAACGTACATAGGTACCTGTTTGCAGTTTTTGATTTTCTTTTTATAATGTTTTTGACTTCTCTTTTAAATAATAAAAATTTCTGATTAGGGCCTTTGTGAATTAAGGTAACGCACATGTAGCATAAAACAAACAAGAAATCACCAGAATATCAACTTTGTACAAGGCATTACATTTATTTCTAATTTAAGTCATTTATAATATAGTCATATAAAAAAGATTTAAACATAAAAAAACCCATTTTAAAACGAAGATTTGGCAGGTTTTTGGTTTTTTATAAGCATGCAACTTCTTTTAACATACACGTTGCCAGATGTTGCTGGCAAAACACATATCTGTTGCTAAACATTTATTTCTTTGTTTCTACCTCGGAATTTAACAGAATAATTGCGTTCCAAATGGCTGCTAAAATTCCATACTAGAAACGTTTCAGTTTTCCATTCCACAATGATTTCCACTGAGTCGTTTGCACCTTCTCGTTGTTGAATGTTCTCTGCCTATATGAATATTTCGTGTTAACCCTTGCAGGGAACTAGAGATTGAATATTTTTCTGAATTTTTTTCAGCTGATCCGAATAGAGATACCCTTCATCGAGTGGTCGCGCCAATTTATATATAATATATATATTTTCTTTCTTTTTTTAACGTGAATTATTGCCAGATCATACTTTTTCCTTTTCGGATTTGCTTCATATATATATAGCTAGACATGTACGAATAAATCGAATTTCATCAGGATTTAGTTCAGCCCTGAATTCATTAGGTTTTTTTGCGCTACAACGTATGAGTTGGAATCGTTGATGAAGTAATTTTCGCTACATGGAGACAGTACTATTGTAATTTTTGAGGTAGAAAGTAAGAATAAAAGAAAAAGAACAATACTATGCATATGTGTATTAAAGTTGTTTATAGGTGAAGGGCATATAGGGTGACAATGGAGTGCTAATCGGGGATTAGTTTGGTGTGGGTGTTGTGCTTGAGCAACAAAGGGGACGTGGGGTATAGGCAAGATGACATAACTGACTTGACTGAGACTGACTGACGAACCATGGTCAGCAAAAGGGGCGCTGCTGAAAAAAGGGAGTCATAGCAGCGCCCAAGGCTTCGTGTGGAGTACACGAAGAAGGGGAGGGTCGACTCCACCTGACTCGGACTGGTTCTCCTCTTTCGTTTCCGCCTCTGTACTTCTGTCTCTTTTTTTTTCTCCAAATCTTGACATTCTAGGCATGAGTAGATTTTTTTGTTGATGTTGCAAAGAGGCAAGGCAGGTAGCGCTTTTTTCTTTTTTTTTTTTATATAAAACCATACTTAAATATATACCTGCGGCGTTTTTTTAAGTTTTTATATAAAACGATAGTTTACTATACAGCTAATGAAAATTTGGAATAAAACATCGCGGAATTTTTTATTCCGAATTGTTGCCTGCGCCGCTTTTTCTTTTTCATATAAAACGATATTTTAATATATATTTAAACAAATATAATGTGCAGAAGAATTTTTTGTTACAAGTCATACATCCAATTAAAGATATTTTTATGCTCCTTCTGATAATCATATATGTTAACATAGTTAATAACGTATTTTTTTACGAAAAACATACATTTTTATAAAAAAAATTTCCATAATTAGGTTTTTGTACTTTTTCTCAAAATATGTATACATTATATACATTAAAATATATCGAATGAAAGGTCCTTCAATCACTTTTCCAACTGTGTCCATAGTTTAAAATCAGTTCAATAGTCCACGCCTACTTCTTTTTTTTAGCTCATCGGCTCTGATTCCAATTATTGTTTAAACGTTTACGTAATGTTTAACGTAAAGTAAAAATGATGAATTTATTAACGGCTTTTGCTCGATTTTAGAGATGAGAAAACGACGAACAAACGATTTATCACAGTTAAGAAATGAAAATAATGAAATTCTTACATTTGGGGTGTTAAAGGCAGGAACTGTAAAATGTAAAAAATTAATTATAAATGTTTGGCTTAGGAACAAACCTTAAAAATTGACGAACAATGAAGAACAAACGACGAACTATCGATTGCAATAATAACTAACCCAAAATAATCTGTTGCGGGTGCTAACTTCAGGAATTGCGTAAAGTGAAAATTGAAAAAATTAATTATAAATTTTTGGCTAACGAACAAACGTTAAAAATAGACGAACATTAAAGAACAATCGACGAACTATAGATTGCAATACAAAAATCTTAATATTTTCACAAATGGGGTGCTAACGTCGGTTGGGTGACAAACCCTAAAAGTATGTTCACATATAAATATTACCTTAATCACCCCGTTTACACAGGCAAAAGTCAGATTATTAGCCGTCAAATTTGTTGTGCTTGTTATTCTCACATCTCAAGGAAAATTTATGTTACTTCTCTGTGCCACCGTGGTCACGTTTTTCTGCTATATAAAGCAATATAAATATATTTTAACTTAACATTTTATTTACAAACCTCTTTTCCTTTTTTGTTTACTTTTACATTTAGCATTTCTCTTCTTCGCAAAAACAATCGATAAAACTAGAATGGACACCGAAAAGTTATCGGTTAAATCTGAGATTATTTTATAATTACAGATTAACAAGGGACGCATTTTATCTCTTGTTCTAATTACAGATTAGGGTGTTAAGCTGGAAAATGAGGATAATCTACTTATATTATAATTTTTCTCAAAATTTATCCACATAAAATATAATATGTGAATTAAAAAAAGGTATTTTATTTACGTTTCCAACGATACCAATTTTTCTAAATTCGGTTAGGAATTTTTTGAAATATAGCCATTTTAAATTTTCGAAAATTCCCCCTTCACCCCTCCATATCACTGAAAATATAAGTTTGCACCAACAAATTTTTATACCAGTAAAATCAGGAAAAAAGGGCGGACCACGCCCACTTTTTCGATTTGTTCTACCTTAACGGGCCGTATTCTGCACTTGTTCCTCCCGATTGTTGCCCACGGAAACACAGCAATTGAATCATGATTAGTGGCAGCATCGACTTTGCGACTATTTTGCCCCATATCTACTTTACTTCTTCATTTAAAAAGTGATTCCAGAGTTTTGTTTCTTTGACTTCTCTTATAGTGTGATGTGCATTGCCAATAAATTTCAAATAATTGCATGAAAACTGCATCAATTAAACGCGTGCGTCTAGGAATCATCAAAATATTGTCAATAATAAATCTATTAAGTCTAAAATAAAAAAGTGAAGTTAAGTGACAAACTAAGGTCAAAATCTTTCGACGCTTCTTGCGTTGTCAATGCAAAGTCGACAGCTGCATAAATACTGCGGCCCCGAAATGGCCGAAGGTGCATAAAAATAAAATAAAATACTAATAATTACTTTTTTACTGCTAATATAACTTAATTTGCTCTATGAGAACTTTTCAATTTCATTTACAGATTTGCAATGATGTCAGACTGCTTATGTGAATTTGCTTGCCCTTGTTAGTTTTGTTTGTTGTGGCCGAAATACTTTTGTGTTAAGTTTGCTTTACTTGGGTTCTTCTTTAGTTTATGGAAACATTCATATATTAAAAAAAGTCTATCTCAAGGAAAGACGTTTCATTCCCTAAAAGGTAAGCTTAATTAAAATACTACAATTTAAAATATGTATTTTATGTAATCCTCAATATATACAAAATACCTGTGCTGATTAATAATAATAATAATAATCCCCACGGTTTAATCCTCCTTTCCCTCCCATCCGAACGAAGGCGGACTGCGCATGACGTGCGGAGTTTGATAACTGTCCGGTTTACAGGATTTAGTCAGAAGTCGTTCCCGTACACACATTTACAATAGGTGCGTTCGACAAGTCAAAAATTTGTAATAGTTTTGCCAAATTTTTACTCGATGGCGTTCGATAACGACAAAAAATTATCCAACACACAAAACTGAGAGAGCAAGCGTTCATTTTGATGCAAGAGAAGCGTTCATTTTGTACTGGCAAAATTTTAGTCAGCAAAAATTATCCAACACGAAAACATATGATCACAAAACATATGGTTGTAATTTTTGTAAACAAACAAAATTGCATTTTCCGAGTTTTGGTATTTATATGCTTTTTGGCTGCCTGCTATGTGACTATGATAGCGCCAACTACTTTTTACTTCTAGAAATGTTCCTGGCGAACATTGAACGTCCACTTTCCTTTTTTCTACTATGGAGGCAACATGAATTTCAGTTTGTTTACAAATAAAACATAAACAAAGTCAGCTGGTGTCTTCTTCTTCCGGTTTTTGCAAGTGATGGCTAATTTGCTGTTCGTTTACTTTTTTGCTTTTTCATCTCTTTGGGAGAGAATTTTCGCTTACTCTCCTGATTTTGATTGTTGGCTGGTGTTGGCTAATTTTGTTATCGAACGCAACTAATATCTTCAGTAACATATTGCGGACTAAATCGAATACTTTCTGGCAAAATTCTACAAAGAAATGCTTTGGTTAGATTTGACTTAAACTTAACATAGAAGTTCATTACTAACTTCCAGCCAAGTCAATAAAGTAGGATGTGTACGCTGTTAATTTGGCCTAGAAATAATCTGTACCGACAGTTAACCGCTTTTGGTGAGTGTATGAATAACACGGTCTTACGAGATATAGTTTTTAAGACGGGTAGGGATGCTTCGCA